ATCGCATAATACAAATGTATTTAAATTGCATTATACATGTATTGTTACTGTAAATATTGTATCTGTAAATACTGTTATGCTCTTCATCTTTGGAGGAAATAAAAGTATCTATCTAACTGATCACTTCCATTTTTCAAGAGTTATCATTTTTACTGTGAAAAATGACCTGAAATTTAAAAATGTTGAAACATTTGTAACTAAAACCATGCTTAGACTCACATCTTATTGTCATGTTTTGTGTATATTTTTCTGTTTTAAGTGTGTTAGAATTTTTAAGAGAAATAATTGCTGTAAGATTTTGTTTCATTTCTGAAGGATTATTCCTTTTCATGTAAAAATGTGTGTTTCATGTGTGACTGTGGATGATTCTTTCTGTCATCATATGTAGTCTATATTGTAATAATATTTTTTATCACATAAACCGCGGCGCAGGAGTGTAATAAAGCCATTCAATAAAAACGATATTACACTATAGTCTGTCCCATTAAAAATGGAAATGAACTTTTGCCTGGTATGAATTAACAAAACGACGTTGAATAAAAATTAAAACTTTGTTTTAAACAAAAAAAAAAGTCACCCTCGAGATTTTCCAGGATTTTTCTCTATAGTGTAAAAGTAAAGTTTCATTTCTCTACGGCATGTCTCTGTTGTTTATTTTCCGTAGTTATTGCCGAAGTGCTCTTCATTTGAAGATGAACGAGAGAAAGCACGTGTCATGTTTCTAAAATGTACATGATGTTCTCGAGGTCGTTTCATGATTATTTTACAAAGCTGCATCTACAAGATGTAACACTTTCGTTCAAATGCATGATAGAAAACTTTAAAAAATGAATAATAAGCAACAAGAACACCGAGTCACATGGAGTTGATCTAGAAATTGCACTTACTTAAAAATTAGTTACTTTTGAGCTGAATAAAATCCTTATGAATTTCGAAATAGATCTTTATAAACGTCACGACAAATTCGCATTCTGAAGATTTTTTTCATTGCCAGTTTCTATTCAGTTCCGTAGATCCCATTTTTTTACTTTGAAACTCCTGAATGGCATGACTCCTACACGTATGATGATCCAGATTTTTTATAATCCATCTCATTATTACAACATTGTTCCATTTGTGCAGTTATCTGGGTAAGCAAATGAAATATGTAAATGAAACACATCATAATTCAGTATGTTCCACATCCATAATTCAATAATAACACTTTGACGTGACGTCATTTGCGTTATATATAGAGGATATTGAATGAGTGTAGTTTAATACGTCTAAATTTATTGAACGAGTTGAATAAAATCATATTATGCGAGCCTCTGGCGAGCATAATATTGTTTTATTCAACGAGTTCAATAAGTTTAGTATTGAATCTACACGAATATAATATTCTATTTATCACATATATAATATAAGAACAGTAAACTGTTAAAATGGGTAATTTTTCAATGACGCGCCTATAGTGTAACGAAATATTTGAAACTAATGTAGAAAAATGTGTAAATATGACTCGGTTTATATTCTGGTACGTTAAAAATAATTTTCAAGGAGGTTTTTAACCTTATTTCATATATGTTTCGGGAAAAGTCCGAGTGGGAGCATTCAGAGAAAAACACTTATCCCGTTTTCAGACTTAAACCAGGCAATGAATCCATAAACTTTTTTTACAATTATCTCAAGTACTGTAGCCATTCTTTGGTGCGCTACATGATTTTTTAATACTCTTACGTTTTCTTATAATAAAATTGTATTTTACCTTCGAATCGACGAAAAAATAGTCCAAGTGGGAGCATTCAGCAGGTGCGCGATGACGTAGTATCCTACCATTGGTTAAAGCGCGCTAATTAATATTAGCGTACACTATAGACGTGTCCATGAAAAATGACTCTTTTTGACAGTTTACTGTTCTTATTTTATATATGTGATAAATAGAATATTGTATTCGTGTAGATCCAATACTAAATTTATTGAACTCGTTGAATAAAACAATATTATGCTCGCCAGAGGCTCGCATAATATTATTTTATTCAACTCGTTCAATAAATTCAGTATTATATATGCACTCATTTAATATACTCTATTTATTACAGTATATGTAAACATAGTCACAAATATGTTCCGTTATACTTTATTATGAATATCTTAAGGCGTTTACAATACTGCCATATTGTTAAAGTGTCTAAAGCTATATATCCGCTGCAACGTATTGTTTGAATGTAAAAAAGAGAATTTTTCCATTTTTTGTATGAAATAAATATGGTAGTGAATGCCTTAAAACAGAATGGCGCATGCACGAGATAATTTCTAAACTTAAAATAGCAGAATATTTTTTTCGGAAACATTTCATTCTCTTAACGTACAATATTCACGTATATTAATAATAGAAACATCCTATGTGATAAAAGCTTTTTAATATCGACCTTAAGATAATAGAAGCAATATAATTTTATTGTTGATACATTTTATGAAAAATAATTTGTGGGTTAGCTTTATAATAGAAAAATTACTACACAGACAAATGGTTTGCAACTTCAATATTTTTTTTTATTTGTAATTAAAAAATGACCACGCTGTTTCATGATTAGATAATAATTTAACATTTTAAGAAGAATTTTCTGGGAAATGGTGTTTAATCTATTATACATTTTATAAACAATTAGGCATTAAATTGTGATTTAACTGGCTAAATATACGAGTATACTAGTAGATGGACCAGTGTAGACAGAGTATAGATAATAGCTTTCACACCCTAAAGAAGGTCTATTGTGCATACACTGCTTAATCCAAATTTTCACCCAGTTGATTTGTTATCATAGTTGGCTTAAATTTATGTTAGTACATCATGACTATGTACAGTTAAATTCATTCAGTGACATTCGACAGTAGTGTATGAAAATTAAACTTAAAATGTCAACAACGTGACAAATCTTGGAAATATGTGATACTTGATAAAATCCTCAATTCAATGTAAGTTTCATACTTTATATTATATGAGTTTACAGTAATTTTAAATATGAACAAAACAATAATTCTTTAATTCAAGTTTTGCAATAGAATATTAATACTCTTTAAATGTTAATAGTTAACTGATATTAAAAGGCAGACTTTGCAGATTATTAAATGCGCTGTTTTTGTTATTGCAACTGTTTTGTTAACTGTTATAGTTATTTTACTGTTACTATTCTGTTATTGTTCCTGTTACCAACTGTTATAGTTACTGTTCCTGTTCTGTTATAGTTATTTACTGTTCCTGTTCTGTTATAGTTATTTACTGTTACCGTTCTGTTATAGTTAATAACTGTTACTGTTCTGTTCTGTTATAGTTATTTACTGTTCTGTTATAGTTATATACTGTTACCGTTCTGTTTCTGTTCTGTTATAGCTTTTTACTGTTCTGTTATAGTTATTTACTGTTCCTGTTTTGTTATAGTTATTTACTGTTCTGTTACAGTTATTTACTGTTCATATTCTGTTACAGTTACTGTTCTGTTATAGCTAGTTACTGTTCTGTTACAGTTCCTGTTCTGTTATTGTAATCTACTGTTCATGTTCTGTTACAGTTCCTGTTCTGTTATTGTTATTTACTGTTACTGTTCTGTTAAAGTCATTTACTGTTCCTGTTCTGTTATAGTTATTTACTGTTCTGTTACAGTTCCAGTTTTGATATAGTTATTTACTGTTAATGTTCTGTTACAGTTACTATTCTGTTATAGTTATTTACTGTTCTTGTTCTGTTACAGTTACTGTTCTGTTATATTTATTTACTGTTCATGTTCTGTTACAGTTCCTGTTCTGTTATTGTTATTTACTGTTCTGTTAAAGTTATTTACTGTTCCTGTTCTGTTTGAGTTATTTACTGTCACTGTTTTGTTACAGTTCCTGTTCTGTTATTGTTATTTACTGTTCTGTTAAAGTTATTTACTGTTCCTGTTTTGTTATAGTTATTTACTGTTACTGTTTTGTTACAGTTACTGTTCTGTTATAGTTATTTACTGTTCTTGTTCCGTAACAGTTACTGTTCTATTATAGTTATTTACTGTTCATGTTCTGTTACAGTTCCTGTACTGTTATAGTTATTTACTGTTCTTGTTCTGTTACAGTTCCTGTTCTGTTATAGTTATTTACTGTTCTTGTTCTGTTACAGTTCCTGTTCTCTTATAGTTATTTACTGTTCTTGTTCTGTTACAGTTCCTGTACTGTTATAGTTATTTACTGTTCTTGTTCTGTTACAGTTCCTGTTCTGTTATTGTTATTTATTGTTCTTGTTCTGTTACAGTTCCTGTTCTGTTTATAGTTATTTATTGTTCTTGTTCTGTTACAGTTCCTGTTCTGTTATTATTATTTACTGTTCTTGTTCTGTTACAGTTCCTGTTCTGTTATAGTTATTAACTGTTCATGTTCTGTTACAGTTCCTGTTCTGTTATTGTTATTTACTGTTCTTGTTCTGTTACAGTTCCTGTACTGTTATAGTTATTTACTGTTCTTGTTCTGTTACAGTTCCTGTTCTGTTATTGTTATTTACTGTTCTTGTTCTGTTACAGTTCCTGTTCTGTTATTGTTATTTACTGTTACTGTTTTGTTAAAGTTATTTACTGTTCCTGTTCTGTTAAAGTTATTTACTGTTACTGTTCTGTTACAGTTCCTGTCCTGTTTTTCTATAGATATTTACTGTTACTGTTGTGTTACAGTTACTGTTCTGATATAGTTATTTTTTGTTCATATTCTGTTACAGTTACTGTCTGTTATTGTTGTTTGTTTTTGGTTTTTTTTCGTAGTCGAACAATTGTAGTTACTTACTAATAGTGTTTCTTTGTGTTTCTATTTCTTACTTTTACTGGTATTGGTTTTCTACTATAATTATTTTATTTATTTCAGCATAAATTATTTATAACTGTTAATTCTCTCTTAAAGAACTTTGATTTTTTTTAAATGTTAAGTTACTGGTTACTTTAATGTGTTTACTGTTTTTGTTCAACTTTCTGTATTGTTTCAGTTTAATTACTATTATGAAACTTACTAACTCTCTTGTTAACGAGTAATTTTAATTCACATATTGCAGGAATCACGTGACAGCGATATTTGATCAACCATACTGTAAGAACACCGAGGATTCACTAGATTCGAAACATGGATGCTGACCATTTTGTACTGAAGAGATTAAAGAACGGAGCCCTTGAATATTTAGCTGTTCAACAAATCTTTGAAACAATCACTTCTTTGCTTTGCTGGATCACCAGGGTTGAGAATACAAGAGTTTGAAAGACTATAGCACTTACCAGAGAATGACACAGGTATAACCCTTGAATAGCAGCATATTAAAATTGCACGTTCTATTTGTGCGTCCCCACTTACACAACACACGTGTCCGGACTGTAACTTTGCAATGCATTGAAGGAATTCAAAAATGTACCAAATTAAGGTCTAAGACCTCAAGTATCGAGGTCAAATTGACAGTTTGTAGGTTCACAGTTAGTGTTAAATGGAACACATATTCGTTTCCAGACTGTAACTTTATCATACACAGAAGGATTTTAAACAACCTAGCATATATATCAACCACACCCAGATGACATGTCGCTTTCAAAGTCCATGTCCTTACTTCAGAGGTCAATGTCACACTTAAAGCTTGAAGCTACTAATTCTCACAAGAATAGTCTGAAGGTACACATTCGTGTACGGACTGTAACTTTTCATACATGTAAGGGTTTCAAAACAGCTTGACATAAATATCTATGACAAGAAGACAACATGTCGCGTCTATAGCCCATGTTACTACCTTAGAGATCAATGTCACAGATAGAGTCTGAAGGATCACATTTGTTTCAAAGGAAGAATGTAAAAAAGTATACGTTCAAAACAAAATTTGTTTGAAACAAATATAATTCAACATTTTATCTTTGCAGTCATCATGTTAGTTTTGTCATTTGTCATTAGTGCTCCTTTGTTCAATCAAAACAATAAATAAATTGGTTAAGTTAATTTAAGCAAATTTCAATGATTCAATCATATAATGGAAAGGCACCAACAGGTCACATTAGGGGTGAAAAAATCAACAAATTTATTAGCACTTTATGGGGAATTAGGACGTTACCATTTATCTATATATCGCAAAATAACAATGATTAAATATTGGGTTAAAATAGTTAAACAAGAAGATTCGTCTCTAGTGAAGAAAGCTTATTTACTATTAAAAGCAGACGCTGATTCCAATATAACGTATAGAGGAAATAACTGGGCGTTTCAAATCAAAAAGTTCCTATCAGAACTTGGATTTCTATATGTTTGGCAAAATCAAAATGAAAATGATATTCCCCTTTCTGCTATCAAACAAAGAATCTTAGATAACTATTTACAAAAATGGTATGCAGATATTAATAATTCCAGTCGACTCCAGTCATATTGCATTTTTAAACATAATTTTGACCGTGAAAAATATCTTTCGGTGATTTCTGATTACAAATTAAGAAATACATTATCCAGATTTCGCATGTCCTCTCATAATCTATATATCGAAACCGGTAGATACTATAATATCCCAAGGGAACAAAGACTTTGTAAATCATGTAATATGTCAATGGTCGAAAATGAATACCATTTTTTGATGTCTGTCCACATTTTAGAGATTTGAGAAATAAATATTTTAAACGCTATTACTGCCAGTGGCCGACTTTGAATAAATTTAGGGCTCTCATGTCAACAAACTCTACAAAAGATTTATTGAATTTAGCTAAATTTGTTTACTTTGCAAATAAAAGAAGAATTGTGTAATTTTTTTTTCATTTAGAATCACGTAAATATTGTTAATATTTCAATAGGGTTATATATATGTAATGATACATTTACATGTTTATTTCGACTTTACATAATCATGATAACTTTTTTTCAGAATAATGTTTCATTAAACAATCTCTTCTGATAACTGTATAATTTATTATGTAAAAAATGCATTTTGTTGTTTGCTTTTCTTTCTTCTATGTTTTTTGTTCACACTGTACAATAGAATTTGTATAGGCTATAAACATTGTTTAAACATGTTTAATGCTGAATAAAATTTTCGTATTCGTATTCGTATTAAAGGTTCTATTATGATCGTCATAATTATGCACTAACAGGTCACATTGAAGGTGCATTTATGATCGCTATAATTATGCACTAACAGGTCACATTAGAGGTGCATTTATGATCGCTATAATTATGCACTAACAGGTCACATTAAAGGTGCATTTATGATCGCCATAACTATGCACTTACAGGTCACATTAAAGGTTCAATTATGATCGCTATAATTATGCACTAACAGGTCACATTGAAGGTTCAATTATAATCGCTATAATTATGCACTAACAGGTCACATTAATTAAATGTTCAATTATGATCGCCATAATTATGCACTATCAGGTCACATTAATTAAAGGTTCAATTATGATCGCCATAATAATGCACTATCAGGTCACATTAATTAAAGGTTCAATTATGATCGCCATAATAATGCATTATCAGGTCACATTAATTAAAGGTTCAATTATGATCGCCATAATTATGCACTATCAGGTCACATTAATTAAAGGTTCAATTATGATCGCCATAATAATGCACTATCAGGTCACATTAATTAAAGGTTCAATTATGATCGCCATAATTATGCACTATCAGGTCACATTAAAGGTTCAAATGGACACATCTACTGATTAAATGTTGAATTCTGCTTAAGCCGCTGGGAGGGTCGCATGGACGGTACCTTGCAAATAGCCACTTTCATCCATAAATAGGCTCAAACCGACCCACCCTGCATTATTTTTAGTTTGATCTTTTTAAGTGTTCTTTAGAGTTTCTATTTTTTCTATTTATTTTTTTTGGTAATGTAAGATTAATTCAAGATGTACGTTTTTGTCATGACGTATGAGTGTGAATAAATAACAAAGTTATGATAATTAAAACAAGTTTCAAAAACATACATAAAAAAGGTCATGGTCTTATTTACATTTTTTCAATTAACATGATTTCGTCAAATGGGTGTCAATTCTTTTAGAATAAATGGAAAATATTTTTAACTTATTAATTGATACAAATTCTTTATTTGGTGAAAGTGATTCACTAAACGAACAAGACCATTTAAAATCCTTGAAACACATTTGTTTTTCTTCTGTGTTGAAGGATATGTAATAGGAAGAGCATCGAAACACAAGACTATCTGATTTGTACGAGTAGCCCCCGAGTATTTATCAGTTTGCCGAGTGTTTTGATGTTCTTTTTTTTGTATCATAGTCAAACATAAAAAACACGTTCCCTGTTGTCACAATATGAAGCCAGTGAACGAGCATCTGAATATGATATTTCTATCGCTTTCCCTTTCCCTGCCGTCGCAATAAGTAAACCCCAGCAAAAACGATTAGGTGATTATCTATCTTGCCCTCGCTTGTTGCGACTTATTTACGCCCCTTCACATGGTCATACAACGTACATGTAGTCACTGGGACAACGTATTCGTTAGCAGCCTGCCTGACCGTACAGCTGAGAGTGCAATTTGAAATGCATCTTTTGTATACTTTCTATACTGCATTTTTAAAGCTGATCAGTTTACAATACAAATGGTACCGTACAGTGCAAGGGAGGTAAAAGTGTAGGAAACAGGCACTTCACTATCACAGTTATCTCCCTTTGATTGGAAAATTGACAATAATACCCCCAACTACATTTAAAACTGTTCTGCATTTTTCCTACTATGAAAAGTTTTCACTTTAAATTATTTATCGGTTCTTAATGGCAATGCCCTGAAGTTTTTAACAATTTTTTATCAAGTAGTCTGTTTATGTGTTTCCCGAGAGATATTATTGCAGAACCATATTACGGGCCATATATGACAGTATTCTGCGCATGAGCACAAGGACCGGTAGCCCTAATGTCTGCAAGGTCTAATTTTTACGACATGTGAATGCGATTTAAAAAAATGCAAATTTTGTTTACCTACAACGGACCTTACACTTTTATGTTATCCTGTTTTAAACGTCTTTGTGATTTGAATAGCCTGATCAAAGATGCAAGTAAAAATAAAGCGTTTAAATGGAAAATACGGGTACTGCTTCTGCACGGAAACTACTCGCATGCCAATAGTGACATAAAATAGATTGGCATCTACGAATGAATTTTGGGCCTAGTTCTTTAATATCTGACTCAGTGATTACATCATTATTCTTTAAAAATGTTAAAGCTAAATGACTTTAGCAACTTCTTTTGTCGCACCAGTATTTCATGTAAGTCTTCATATAAACATTGAGATATTGTCTCCCCTTAATCTTTAATTAAGCTATATATGTGTCTGCATTATTTACAGGACTACAACATTGTATTAACTAAATATGATAAAGAAGATCAACAAGGAATGGCGGCTTTCAATGAGCGCAACCCCCATACGACCCAGCAACACAGGACCACCGACAAGGAGACCAAAAGGAAACCAAACCAAAACAAGACAAGGTACAAGGTAAAGCAGTCTACTAAAAGATTGTAATCACAGTGGTTAGCTATTCCAAGTAATGTTAACATTGATCGAACGTCTCACTTAAGATATCGTCTTACTTAAGACTGCTTGTAAGACATAATTTAAATGTTTTCACTATGTTGTTTTTATTCTCTCAGTAGGTTCTATTGGATTTGTGTTACGGGTTTAAATTTTTCGGAATAGGTTTATCATGATTCAATACTATTAAATCTCTGATCTACATGTATGTTCTCACCCATAGATACGATAGTTTCATTTTATAAACTTCTCTATGTACATGCTCAGTTATTATATACAATGAAAATCAATCAATATTTAAATAAGGTAAATTTGCTTTTCAGATTGATAATTCCGGAATGCAGGCAGCAAAACTCACTGGAAAAAAATGATAAAATCCTATCAACAATTTTACGTGTATGATTAAATGGTTAGCAGTTTATTAGACCATGAAAATAGTAAACAAAAACTAGTTGTTTGAAAAATAACACACATAATAAATTGTGTTTTTTTATAAATTAAAAAAAGTTATGGAATCGTCTGGATTCTCTGCAGGTTCTTGAATTGACGACTATATGTTGAAATGAATTGAGCCGCGTTACGACAAAACCAACATAGTGAGTTTGCGACCAGTATGGATCCAGACCAGCCTGCGCTGCTCTATCAGTTTCTCTACTTGTAATAGGGTTGGTAAGCGAACAGCATGGATCCTGATCAGACTGCGCAGATGCGCATGCTGGTCTGGATCCATGCTGGTCGCAAACCGATTATGTTGGTTTTGTCATGGCGCGGCTCAATTATCCTACTTCTGACATCAGTTGTACAACAGTGGCTAGACATTTTGATAGATAATACGTCAGTTATATGAAAATAATGCGTCACATATTCTCAAAATGGAATGTTTATGTCTTTTACCTTTTGGACAATCCTCGTTCATTGGTGGTTACAGATATATAAAAATTTAATTACAGTTGCATGGTGTCTGGAACTACGTGACGTTTTTGATACGTATGTGATCTCACAAATGCATATAGTACGTTACGTAATGTTGTTGTCATCTAAAGTCTTTGAACTATGCCCAACATTAGTTATATCAATGATCATTTGGCTTGTTATAGCAGTAAACAAGTTATATATGGTTTGTAAAGGAGTACTGGTCTGGTCTAAGTTGCATTCATTTATGAATATGGAACTAGCCCTGTGTTTAAGGGGTTTATCAAAACAGTGGCATAATTGCATTTGTAACCCATATAATATATATACACATCGTTATTCTTGTTTCATTTTTATGTTATTTTGATTGTCTCATAATGATTTGATAAAATTTAAAGGGACACGCATAAGTTTGTTATAAATGTTATATGAAAGCAGGCAAAGGCTCTAAGAATGGGGAAGATACATAAAAAAAATCTTTTTTATCTTACTTTTTCGTTTGAAATGCGTCATTTAATATTTTATGCATCGCTTCTGTTTTTAATCGGGTCACATCGACAATTATTCTTAAGGCGAATAGTTTCGATTGTTCCGTTATCGGAAGACTTCGACGAATATCATTGATTTACATTACTAATGATACTGTTAAACCTATCACCGAATTATTCCGAGTGTTTCCGAATATCTTGTCCTTCATTTTTGTCAATCTCTTATCAGAGGTGTTTTTACGCTTGCGAAATTAAATAAAATTGTGATACTGTATTTTCCGCAAAATGTGCCATGTGGCTAAATATTTTGATAGATTACACGTAGGTCATCTCAAAAATGCAAGAAGAGTGTTATATTTTCAAACTGGAACTTTAATGTAAATTCTAACACGACCCGCATTTTTTCCTATTGAACATAGAAGAACAGAAAGTGTGTGTTATTATGCAACAGATGCACAGTTTGACGTTCTATATTTAGACATGTGACGTAATCATTATACACGTACCGTAACCACTAAAAATCCGACGCGCTGAAAATAAGTTCGGAAACAAATCAGGCGCAATTTTGCTTAACTATCAAGTACCGCAACATTTATTTGTTAATGTCGTGTTAGAATCGAAATAATATATCCAAATCAGTGATTTTATCGCTTGATAACATCACTGTTTGTCGTTCGGATGCGCATCATTATATCACTCGGGCTACGCCCTCGTGATATAATTCCTCGCATCCGAACTCCAAACAGTGATGTTATTGAGCGATAAAATCACTGTTTGGGATATATTATTTCTTAACTTTACAGACAATCCTTTTATACTGGTTACTATAAATTTATCAAAATATTATGGAACGCCATAGCTGCCTTATATTCACTCTTATCAAGTCGTGATGTCCTTTGGATAAATGGTGATGTCGTTTTAAAGATGGTGCTATGGTTTTGATAGATGGTGATGTTATTTTCATATATGGTGATGTCGTTCAGATAGATGGTCATGTAATTTAGATATATGGTGCAGTCATGTTATAAACGGTGCAGTGGTTTTGATATATGGTGATGTCATTTTAATAAATGGTGCTGTGATTTGAATACTTGGTTGAGTGTATTTGAAATATTGTGCTGTAGCACTGATCGATGGTGTTATCGTTTTTACATATGGTGATGTCGTTTTGATAAATGGCGAAGTCAAATTGATAGATGATGCTGTAGTTTTGTTAAACGGTGTTGTGAGTTTTAAAGATGTTGCTGTAATTTGATATCTGGTGATGTCGTTTCAATAGACGGTGCTGTGAATTGGATAAATGGTTATCTCGTTTTGTAAGATGGGGCTGTGGTTGTTTCAGATGGTGTTGTAATTTTGATAAATGGTTATGTCGTTTTGTTAGATGGTGCTGTGGTTTTTTTATAGATGGTGCTGTAATTTTGATAAGGTTATGTCGTTTTGTTAGATGGTGCTGTCGATTTGATAAATGGTTATGTCGTTTTGTTAGATGGTGCTGTGGTTTTTATAGATGGTGCTGTAATTTTGATAAATGGTTATATCGTTTTTGTTAGATGGTGGCTGTGCTATTTATAGATGGTGCTGTAATTTTGATAAATGGTTATGTCGTTTTCGTTAGATGGTGCTGTCGATTTGATAAATGGTTATGTCGTTTTGTTAGATGGTGCTGTGGTTGTTGTAGATTAGTGCTGTAATTTTGATAAATGGTTATGTCGTTTCGTTAGATGGTGCTGTCGATTTGATAAATGGTTATGTCGTTTTGTTAGATGGTGCTGTGGTTGTTGTAGATAGTGCTGTAATTTTGATAAATGGTTATGTCGTATTGTTAGATGGTGCTGTGCTATTTATAGATGGTGCTGTAATTTTGATAAATGGTTATATCGTTTTGTTAGATTGTGCTGTAATTTTGATAAATGGTTATGTCGTTTTGTTAGATTGTGCTGTAATTTTGATAAATGGTTATGTCGTTTCAAATAGACTTTACATGTACCACATATAGACGTTATCTGACGGCTTGTCGACCGCCCCCCTTATGAGGCCTCAGGCAGTACAAAATGCCCTATTTAAGCCATAGACACTGTTTTTCGTTTGAGAAATGTTGTTAAAAAGTGACCATATTTTCGGCGCCGCCCCATCAAATGGTACATCAAGGGGTTGTCAGAAAGGGGTGTGCCCCTTCTGTTTTTTTTTTTTGGGGGGGGGAGTCCCCCTCATCACCAAGAAAAGGGCCTCAGGTCGATCGTGAGGTAACGTGTAACCAACGCTGAAAAGCCTTTTGCTCTATCTCAATCCATTGAGAAGTTGCAGCACTTTGAAATCAGTTTTGATGGGAAAAAAAAAAACAATGCAAAATAGTGATTTTTGGCAATTTTTGAGACGTTCCCCTTTTGCCAATTTTACAGGAAGTTTAAGATTGAGCATGCTGTTACATGTACAGAGGCTATTGTCCAGTCAACATTTGTGCCAATTTTCATCAGTATCGCAGCATTTTCATAGTTTCCATAGCAATTTGAAACTTTTAACAGGAGGCTTTTCAATGAAAACGGCCATTTTTTGACAATTTCCTCTTCAAGAAAAGGGTTAAATGTTTTTCTCTGAGATAAAATAAATTAAAATTAAAGTTTAAATGTTTAACTGGTGGAAAACAAGGGAAGCAATTTTGAAAAAAACCTTGGAATGGGTAACTTGTGGACAATGTTTGAAAATGAAAAAATCCCGACTGATTTTGTCTGCAAATTATCTATGCAGGCAATGAAATACTTGGGGATAAATAAATAACAGTCAAGATGTGATGAAGCTCAGATAAGAGTGTATAGAATTTGGCGAAAAATCGTCTCCATTTTTTAAAATAACCAATCGAAATGTTCCGATAAAACAAACAGGTCATCTATAAATAGTTCATCATCATCGTAATAAAAAATCACAGAACCATGCATCAAAATAGTATCACCATGTATAAAAAGAACATCACCACATAGCAAAATAGTATAACCATTTATAAAAAGAACATCACCATATATCAAAATAGTATAACCATTTATAAAAACAACATCACCATACATCAAAATAGTATCACCATTTTTATAAAAAACAACATCACCATATAGCAAAATTACAGCACCATTTATAAAAACAACAGCACCATATATATAAAATGACACCACCAGGTACCAAAAGTGACACCACCATATATCAAAACGAGCTCACCATTTATCATTACTGCAGCACCATGTATCAAAACAACAGCACCATATATATAATTACATCACCAATAATCAAATTGACAAAACCAGCTAACAAAACCACAGCACCATCTGTCAAAACGACATCACCATTTATCAAAACCACAGCACCATTTATTAAATCCACAGCAGCATTTATTTTAAACTACAGTACCACCTGTCAAAACGACATCACCATTTATCAAAACCACAGCACCATTTACTTAAACTACAGCACCATCTGTCAAAACGACATCACCATTTATCAAAACCACAGCACCATTTATTAAATCCACAGCAGCATTTATTTAAACTACAGCACCATCTGTCTAAAAACGACATCACCATTTATCAAAACCACAGCACCATTTACTCAAACTACAGCACCATCTGTCAAAACCACAGCACCATTTATTAAATCCACAGCACCATTTATTTAAACTACAGCACCATCGGTCAAAACGATATCACCATTTATCAAAACCACAGCACCATTTATTAAATCCACAGCACCATTTATTTAAACCACAGCACCATCTGTCAAAACGACATCACCATTTATCAAAACCACAGCACCATTTATTAAATCCACAGCAGCATTTATTTAAACTACAGCACCATCTGTCAAAACGACATCACCATTTATCAAAACCACAGCACCATTTACTCAAACTACAGCACCATCTGTCAAAACGACATCACCATTTATCAAAACCACAGCACCATTTATTAAATCCACAGCAGCATTTATTTAAACTACAGCACCATCGGTCAAAACGATATCACCATTTATCAAAATCCCAGCACCATTTACTTAAACTACAGCA